AATCAATTTTCCAGACCATTTTATTTTCAGCTGCATACATCTACGTAGCAAACTGCTAAATACTTCTAGAGGTTTGCATTACTTAAAATGGTTTTGAATTACTTAAAATGCTTTGGTTACAGGTTTGTGTTATAACAATTTTAACTACACAGCTGAATTTCTAAGTGATTGCTGTAAGCAACTAGAGAACAGAGCTTGCAGAGATGCAAGTGTGGATTTTAACAGGAGAACTGAAAGAAATTGTACCTAAAAATTTGGATTGAAAAGCTCAGTATATTTACTGTGACAGCATTGTGTTGGGCTGTAGAGCAGCCTTTCAGAGGAGATTTTGGAAGTCAAGTAACTCAAATCATTTAAAGTAGATGAGAAAGTTAGAGACACTAGAAAATGTAAGCGGGAAGCTTTCCTGTATTTCAACACTAAATTTCATGTGTTTCATGTGTTTGATCAATGCAAGCAGTATCTTAAAACTGTTGCAAATGTTAAGATGTATGGTCTATGTATTTAAATTATACACAGTTGACCCTACTTCTTTGGCTTGTGCAAAGTGGAAGCAAACAAATATGATTTGTTTCAATGTATGTACATTCCACATGCATGAAGAGTCTGGGCTAATTAATGGACATGCTACTGCTGTTCTTCTATGTGTTTCTGCTTTCTTTTTTTAACTTGCTTGCACTACACTTTTGACTTCTGTGGTCTGTATTGTTCAGTTAGGAGAATTTCAGAATCGTTAAATAATTGTCTCCCTTTGGTCTCACAATGTCTTTAATTCGTCAGCTGATACTCCCTATTAACCCGCTTTAGCTCTGACAGGTTCTTATTAAGGTGGCCTTTAAAATGGAATTGTGTTCTGAAAACCTTGGGTACATCTCTTTCCCTGCTACCAGTGAGAACAAATTCTACACGTCAGCTTTAGTAAGGAATATGGAAAAAAGCAGCAAAGTGAGCACCACAGTGACAAGCTGCAGCTACCCTTTAGTGGAAGTGGGTGCAGCAGCAGCATTACCCACTGCAATAAAGCAGCGTGCAAATAGATCAGGCACAGTTTGAGGCCCTGGCATGATTCCATGCACACATAGTGTTTTCGGTTCTTGTTGCTTTTAGGTGGATGGAAAAGGGTTTGTGTGTTTGTAAGGTTAACAACTTGCAGGTAGTGATAGAACAAGGGGTAATTACTTTAAACTGGCATATTAGGAAGAAATTCTTTCCTGTGAGGGTGGTGAGATACTGGAACAGGTTGTCCAGAGAAGTTGTGAATGCCCCTTCCCTGGAAATGTTCAAGGCCACTGGATGAGGCTTTGAGCAACCTGGTCTAGTGGAAGGTGTCCCTGCTCGTGGCAGGGGGGTTGGAACTAGATGATCTTTAAGGTCCCTTCCAACCCAAACCATTCTATGATTCTATAACTTGTTTCCATTTGGGTAATCACCAGAGCTCTTAGTTATGTGAAGGAGATTCAACTTAATTTCTCTTAAGTTTTTTTCCTGCCATCTATGGGAGGAGAAGACAGGCATTAAGAAGAGAAGTTGTCTCAGCCTCTTAACAGCGTAACAAAGACTTTCAGAAACCTTGGGAAGGGTGAAGTGTCTAATGGCTGGAGATTTCTGGGTACAGTGCAAAATTTGTGGTTGCAGTATGGAGGCTGGCATGCACAGATGGAGACTGATGTAGACTCTGAGTCTTTTAGGGGAAGAAACGGCAATTCTGTGAGGATTAGTATTATAGAGTAGCACTCAGGAGTATTGGTCCTAAGCAAAGTGCTGGAAAGAAGTGTGAGGTCTTGACATTTCAGTGGCTTAACAGCGACTGTAGGAAAACAGTTTGATTCTGTTGCTACAACTGATTTTCTACGAATGATAATTTTTTAGCACTGATGAAAGGAGATTACTATTCCTGCTATAATATTTTCCTAGTTTTGCTTTCTGTGAGGTATTTTAGGTGCCCTGTTCACTGTCAAGACAAACAGTAAGACTCATTCCATGTAAAAATGATATAATGTTCTGTAAAAGCAAAAATACATTTGAGAAGGACGTATCCATATGTAATAAACAGAATAAGGAAGAAAAGTACTGACAGAAAAAGTTGGGTTTATCTTTTGTATGAGAGCAACGGAATACGTTTAGGAAATAGGAAACTGACTAAAATTATTTAGGACTGAGCTTCCTGAGAGATGCCGGTCTGCAATTGCAGTCTACAGAGGTCTTTGTATTCCTATAAATACAGAGAAGCTGCTGACAGGTACTTAGCTTCACAGCTTGTTTTCCTGTGCTTTAGTTCAGCCAATCCTAGATGTCTGTACACAGCAAGACCTGCCTTATTTTCTTTGGATTTAGAGGGGATGTGCATGTATGTGTGTGCTACTTTTTATGAGGATGTATTGAGTATTTATGGTGAGATGGTAATGATATGAGTATGATATCTACCAAAGATTTTACATTTTAAATGCAAATGATTGATTGTGAATAAGGATTTTGAATATTTACTGATAGGGATATTTATCAGCCAGCAGAATTTCTGGTGATAAATTTGTAATGCCATTCGTTAGCTTGGGACTCAAAGTGAGACCAAGTTGCAGCCCTTGAGAATTGTGCTGCTTTGCCGGTTTCTCCTTCAACTCTGTGTTCTGTAACCATCTTTGAGACTTCATCTTGAGCAATGTCAGAAAGCAGAGGTGGTATCTGAATCAGGTTGTTCCTGATGCAAAATAGAAATATACTGTTTATATCCTAACATGTTTACCATACTATTTATATCCTAACATGTTTACCATTGAACAGCCTTCATATGCTCTCCCAGAAATGAATTAAAGATGTTAGTTTAATTCCTATTGCACAGCTATCTGTATCACAGAAGTTACTATTGCAGTTGACTACATCAGCAGAAGCAACAAAGATTGACTGTTGCTTATTTCTCAAACAGCTTTCTTCTCTCCTGTGTTTGCTAAAGTTGATTGAAAGTTTCCACTGGATTCAGAAGACATTCTGTCAAACTGCAGGATGATTCTTACTGCCAAGAACTGAGGCAAATGTTATTTTTTAGTTATTTCCTTATTCAGCTATTCAGTTTACTTTTCCTCACAAGCCTTACTTATTGGTGCTTTTCTACACTTCATGCTTTCAATTATCTCACCTCGTTTTATATTTGGTCTCTTAGGTAAATTGCCTGAATATAAACTGTAATTGGCTTTGCAGGCTGGGCTTTGTTTGCTTCTTTGCATGAATCCTCTTCAGAAACTGTGATCAGCACTGATCCTTTATTTATGTCCACAGGAAAATATCACCAAGAAAAGGGTGAAGAGGTGTAAATGACTCATTTATTGTCCTTTCAAAAGCATAGGTAGATATAATTTACACCAGAAACTGTGACTGGAAAGTGAGGGTGTTTCTGAGAGTCCACCACTTCCTTTGTTTCCTTTTTAGCTTCACAGCAGATTTTTTGTTCTGGTTGTTTTTTTAAGCACTGCATAAATTTTCACCATGGATTTCCTTCCCCGTTATTACCAGCCAACCCACTGATCAGGCACCAGGGTTGTGTTCCTGCTAAGTTTGTGGATTGTATTGGAATCAGAAACCAAATACGTGATAATGAATGTAGTATGCTTTTAAGAATTGTGATGTTTAGTGGGTAGATGTACATCATGAAGACCTTTCTTGTCTGCAATTTGTGATAAAGATGAATCATTCTTTGGGGAAAGGTTATAGTCATGTTGTAAATCACATTCTAAAAATGAAAAAAAAAAATCCAGCAGTAACAAATAGCTACCATCTGGACTCTGAACTATGTAGTTGTATTATGATTTGTCATCCACATAAGATAAGCTTTCTGAGAATGTTTAAATTGAAGTCATAGACACAGATATATCCAAATGCGTTAACTACTTCAAGTAGTGAAGTTAAATGAAAGTAAAAAAATATGTTCCATATGAGGTGGAAAGACTCGAGAACCAAGAAGTTGGAATTTGTTGCAGCACAGATGTATGGGAGTAGGTAGGCATTGGGAGTAGCTGTATAGTAGATTTTACATTGTTTTTAAAAATAGGGCTCACTTTCATTATTTGACAGATGAAAATGAATTTACATCAAAAGAAGCCCCTCAAATCCTTTTTGGGATTTAACTTTGGTTGATGTAGGTCCGAGATGCAGCAAGGGATGCAGATGAACTGTGTATGGGATTGTCTAGCTTTGAGAAATATGTACTGCTGGAAATTAATCTCTTCTATGACTTGAATGAAGAAGAGAAATGGAGATTTCTGAGAAAAGGCATTGGAAGAAGAGAGGAAAGCCAGCTAAGAAATGGGAAAGCAGTAGAAAAAAGCAAAATGCCTTTAGAAATAACTACTCTGAATCAACATCACATTTCTGTTTCTGCCAGCTGCCCACTCACTTGCTCTTTTAATAGAAAGAATTGTCTTGGGTATGAAACAAGTAGTGTGGGGAGCCATGGATTTACTAAGGAAGTGAGTTTCCTGTCCTAGTGGGTTTTAGCTCGCAGTGCTCAGCAATGGATTTGATCTCTTTAGGCTGTATATAACGTATCAAAATGGTAGAAGCAGCCTTTTCCCAAGGATGCTCCTCCAATATAGAAGTGAAACTTCAGTAATAGCTTTATTATTTATTTTCTGAATGCATCAGTAGTGAAACTTACTTATCTAAGAACTTTACAGGCATTCATTCAGTCTCACAATGCATCTTCAAGCAAGGCAGTAATATAATCTACATTTTGTAGACAGAAATCCAGAGCACCAGCTAAGACAATAAATTATTTGTCCTTGCTTCTCAACAAGCCCCCGGAGTACAGCCATGGTTAGAACCTGAACAAACCTGGCAGGCCGTCTTGTGCTCACTGCTCCTAGCCAAGCTGTCTGTCAACTGAGGTATATCTGGGGACAGAAATGCACAGGAGACTGGCAAAGATGGCTTGTTTTCTGAAAATTACTTAGGTGACTAAAATAAAAAAGGTGTTTTACTGACATCTGTTGTTTCTGTTCCTTTCTTTTTAGCTGGTGTTGCCGGAGTACTCTATCCATAGTCTTTTCTGCATCATGTTTTTGTGCGCTCAAGAGTGGCTCACACTGGGGTTAAATGTTCCTTTGCTTTTTTATCACTTCTGGAGGTAAGCCAATCTTTTATATACCAACTGCCTGTTAGGCTTATTTGCCACCTCAGCACACAAGCAGATTGTATGAACTATGATGTGCAGTGATAGGAGTATGGCTGAATACCTTTTTCCTAGAAGTTTTTGCCTATAAGCAGTTGAAACTTACATTTCTAGAGAAAAAGTAAGTATTTTTCATGAACATTTAGGATAGGTAAAGAAAACACATAATAATGTAAATGTGTCCTTCAGTGACTAACTTAGATAAATATTCCAAAGTGCGTCAGGATGCACTCACCATAACTGAATGAAGACTTGGAAATTAAATAGGCTGGAATCTGAAAGTAGAACTTGGTGAGGCTCTAAATACTTCACAGACAGGGAGTTATAAAGCAGTTCATATCTGAAAGATCTTAGACCTATTCATTCAGCCCTAGCAAGGAAACCTTTCCATTGGAATTGTGAGAGACTGGGCAGGTCGACAGAATTTTGGTTCTCATCTTGTTTGGCAGCTTTATGCTTTTTTGGCAGTTTAAAATAAGTTGTTTCTTCCTGTACGGTAGAGAATTTCTGTTCTGCAAGGGAAGTCCCTCTTAGAGACTCTTGGACTAGGCACTGTGGTAGATGAAGAGCTGTTTTCTGCCTGCTCACATGAAAAAGTGGGGAATGTTTCCACTCTGGATCTCTGCTATGTGCTTTTATTCATGGAGGGGCTTTCAGAGTTGATCATGAAAGACCTGCTGTTGAGCAGCTTTAATGTTTTCTGGACAGAGAGTGTAGCTGCTACTGCTGCATCTTCCTCTGCATTCTAGTGGAGGATCAACCTTCTGTTGCCTCTGAACATAGTCGAGAGACGTCAGTTTTTGTGGCTGTCAGTCTGGAGTCTTCACTAGTTTTGCATTTCCACAGTGTTTGTAAAAACACAGATGATTTTTTGTCTGTCAGGGTCTCTTTGTGTTACAAAGATACATATGGCAGCTGATAGCTCCTGTTGTGAAGAAGCTTGAAGAATAATTCTGTAAAGAAGGCAAAACCATTATTTCAACCAGAAACTCAAAAGTAGTAGCTTTTTTTTACACTGTTTTCTGCAGAAAGCTGGTAGTAATGCAGAGTCATGTGATAAAATGTATTTTTCAGAAGTTAGCTTTCTGAGAACTATACTGTGACTCTAAATTGAGTGAAGCTACAAGTGCTTTTCTCCCTGCTGATTGGGTGCAATAAAAGTAATAATGTTTTATGGTACTGTTTTACTAAGGGTTACCAAAACATTCTAAAAATGAATACTGGTTTAAAAAATAAAAAAAGAAAAAAAAAGGAAAAAAAAAAAGTAAATTGTGTTTTATGTCCAAGGTGAAAATGATCAGACTCTAAATAATGATATTAATCTTCGGAGAGAACTTTTGATTTTCTTTGTTTCCGTGGTTCTTCATATGCTTTGCTATAATTACTCCATAATTTCTGCTGTTTTAACCACAGTCAAGTTTGGGTTCATTGTGAAATATTCTGCACAAAACCATGGGAAGATACTGTGTAATATCTTCATCCCAATGAAGATAATTAAGCAAGGTTTCACCTGTGGTCTCTGTAAAATAAATTGCAGTGTTGTTAGCGATTGTGAGTGGATGTGACTAATATTGTAAAGGAGGAAGGCAAGGTTATTATGAGAACATTCACTTTCAAATTTTGCTGCTGGTCACTTGTATGGGGGTTTCTATCTATCTATCTGTCGATCTATCTGTTATCAATCCAGCAATCTTCAGTGCTTACAATACTATTTCAAAGCAACAGAAATAACAGTATTTCATCTGATTCGTGCTGATCTTAAAGCAGTTCATTAACTTTGTTGAGGACTTCTTTTTGTTGCTTTTCCTTTTTACTGCAAAGTAATTGAGACAAAAGCTCCTTTGCAAAAAAAAAATTAAAATTTATCTAGATTTTCTGAAACATCCAGTCATTGCTGAGAATAATTAGAAATTTGTCCTATGTAAGAAGAAAAACATTTTCCAATTAAAATTATTTGGATGATAAATTTTTGAGCAGTACTACGTGTAGGAAACATTAGTTAACCAGATCTTACATTACTCCATATTGACTTTTTTCCTTTTTAGAGTTGGAGGAACTAAGCTATCAGCTGGTTGAGACTGTCACCTTTCATCACGTCTGAAATCAGTTGTATAGATGCAGTTAAAGCCCAGTAATCCTTCCTCCATGCTGTGATCACAAGCCACCACATACTGTCATGCACAGTATGTAAGTTATTAGTGAGTAAGCCAGAAAAAATTATATAGCAAAAGGGAATATTTCAATCTAAAGAATTAATAGAACACAGAAAGTCCACATTCATTGATTGAATATTCATTGATTCACCACTATAAGAATGGTCTGCTTAGACTAGTGTCCTGATTTTAACAAAGTCCAGAAATAGAGTCTTAAAAAAGAGATTAAAACTCCTCCTCTACCATGGAAAAGGGTTGTCTTCTGAGCTGGTGATCAGGAGGGTGTATATCTGCACATATTTAATACAGAATGTTTCAGAGTTATTCTAGATGTCTTTTCCTGCTCTTTCAGGTATTTTCGTTGCCCAGCAGATAGTTCAGAGCTAGCATATGATCCACCTGCAGTCATGAACGCAGATACCTTGAGTTACTGTCAAAAAGAGGCCTGGTGTAAGCTAGCTTTCTATCTCCTTTCCTTCTTCTACTATCTGTACTGGTAAGTCTGGTCATTTCACTGAGGATATAGTAGATGCTTTTCATTTGACAAGTGAAATTGTATTTAGGAATGACTGGGACCAATTGGCTCATTTCCTTACTTTTATAAAACTTGCTTCTGATCTTGATTGAGGGAGGCGTGCCCACTTACAGCAGCATGTGCTGACACCTCAATACAGAATATTAATTGTTTTATCTAAGGTCTGGGCCAGACCCCAGGGCCAACCTAAGGAAAAAAAGTTTGCTCCTTTGCATACTCTCTTAGGATGGGTGAAGTAGCAAATGTTATAATGACATTACATCAAATAAAAATTACAATGTTCTTATGATTCAAGAGAATCATAAGAAAAATACTACGTGTAATGGTGTAGTGATGCTCAAGATAGTAAGTAAACAGGTAGGTAGATGGTGGGTAGGAACATGGAGTTCACCATGCCTGTAGTCATTCCTACAGCCTCCATTTCATTACAGGGTAAGCCTGTGTGTAGTGTCAACCCCTAATTTAAGTACATTCTTGAAGATATGTACCCCAGTTGTATGTTGTCCCCCCTGCCTCTTTCAACTCTCAGATGTCCTTAGTGCACAGTCACAAATGTCCATTGCAAGATTATGTGAGGATCATATTTAAGGTAAGACCTTGGCAGAATCCTTGTGCTTTTAGTCACCCCTGTAATCACACCATAAAACTACTTGACAACAAAGGTTGCTACACTTTAAATGGAGGTGTTGTTTTATGATGCCTTTCTACTTCTTCCGTAATATATTTGCATAGGGTGCCTCTTCAAGCCAGTCTTGCATGCAGTAATCTCTCTGTCAGGCAGGCTTGTATGCTGGTGGAAGAAGAAAAATGTTATTTCTCCTGTCCATTATTTGTTCTGTTTTTCCCCATATCTTGAGGAGTCGTTGCTGCAGGTTGTTGTTTCTCAGTGTTACTTTTAAATATTGTTGACAACAAAGTTTTCTGTCTACATATGCATGTGTATGTGCCTATGTCTGCACATGAGAGAGAGAGAGAGAGAGGGAAAAAGGAGAAGGGCCCAGACTCACAGAAGCCGGTAGGTGCCTAACTCACACTGAGACAGATGGAGCATGAGAATCTGAGCAGGAATTTAGCATCCAGTAGCTTCTTGGGTTTGAGCTGAGCACCCTTGCCTGCCAGTCTTCTTCATGGGGACAAGAGTGAAAAGCATGGCAGTTAAGCTAGACAAGCTCTGTTGGCAGTGCAAGGAGAGATGGCAAGGCATGACTGGAGAGAGCATTTTTAACCCCACATTTTGCTGTTGGCTAAAAGACCCTGTAAAAGTCCACTGTGTAGTGTGGTCTAACATTTCTGTTGGGACTCTATGGTTCTGCAGCTTCCTCTGAGCACTGCTTCCTTCATTGTAAAATGTGACCATAAGCCAAAGTCCACTGCCTGGTGCTATATAAAATAGTATTAATTACATTCAGTTTTGCTGTTCTTTCCTGGTTATAGTGAGAATTAAAATCACAGTAAAATGGAGCTCTGGAAACATACTGTGATTTTTTTTCACTTTTCAGAGTGGCAGTTTGTATGTATGGATTCACTCCAGCTGGTATCTGCATTTTGTTTCTTCTACTGCATGGAATTTGTTCCAAAGGAAGCAAAATAATGCAGTTTCATGTGAAACCTTGCCTGCCCTACTGAGAGTTGCTAGTTGAAGTTTTAAAGATCAAACATGCTAAAGCAAAATGGTTTTGTTTCTTCACTGTTCAAATTCAGACATCAAACCGCACTTTAATAAGCTCAAACACAGCTTGTGGTACAGTAGGATGTCAATAATGAATTTGTTATTTCTTGAGTGCTTTTTGATACCCATCTTGAATACACCATAATTAAGACGCTTTAGAGAGATAGAAAGAATGCAAAGGAAAGCACAGACCATTACAGTCAGACCTGAGGAAGAGAGTGTAAAGGGTTATAAAAATCAAAGTGTTCTTTATGCTTCAAAAGGGTACTTTCATATTGTGTCTTTCTTTTATATTCAGCATGATCTACACTTTGGTGAGCTCTTAATTGAAAGATCATCATTAAAGACTGAAAACAACAAAGGCTGGAGGTGCAAGGACGAGCAAGCCAGGTGAAGCATGATTAAAAAAAAGCAAAGAAAGAAAATCTTTGAACCCAAGAGTAAATAGAGTATGTGAAAGAGAGACCAAGCAAGAAGAAGCATAATACCGCTGGAGAATGGCCGAGTTAACTGTTTATCTCCTGATTCTCGATGTGTTGCAGTAAATGACTTTCAGAACCTAAACAAAACAAAACAAAAAGCAACAAGGTGGGCCAAGTTACACAACTATTCACCTCTCCAGGGATAATGCTGCTTGGTTTAGTGGATTCATTATAAACTATAGTCCCTACTGTCTTCCAGGGAGCAAATTTTCTTTTCTTAATGACTATTCTGGACTGAGGAAGCAGAGGGAAAAATCATCTTACATAGAAAGAACAGCTATACAACACATTCTGAAAATGAATCACCCAGCACTGACTGGAGTTCAAATACGATGTGTGACTGTTCTGCAGGAATGTTCACATAACACTAATCAAAGAGGGGTGTCAGATCTTGTGGAATTGCTTCAGTGTTTTTTTTCCCACCCATAACAACAGTAACAAAAGAATTTGCAGTTGCAGTGTTCTGTTTTCTGATTATATGCTACTCCTGTAGGTGAACATCCAGTCTATTTCTGTACTTCATTTGTGATGCACCAACAAGATACAGTGATATGTATAAATACACTGAGTTTGATCTAATCATGCCAAGCACTTCTCAGAATAGTATTCCTCAAAGGTTAAAAAGGTAAAAGCTACATATATTAAGGAGGATTGTAACATAGGTATTATATTCATAACAATGCTGGGTAACAAAATACTGGATCAGCTAATTGTGGTCTGTAATTCTGTTTTGCAGCTTTATTTCTGCTGTCAAATTTAATCTGAAAAAATATACAGAATGTTTTTGTCTTGTATGAGGTTTGCATTGAAATATGTTCAGTTTTTTATAATTTAAAAGTTTTTAAATTTTAGCATATAATTATAATTTAAATTCATATATATGGGCTGTATATCTTTTCTATATATATGTATATACAAATACACATCTTGATAAATACTCACAGTCTATTTATATTTTAGCTTAATCTGTTTGATTGACAGGTCAAAGGTATCAAGTGTCCAGAACTGCTGCTAAATATATTTCAGCGATGAACCTAGGGCTGGTCCCCTCAAAGTCACTCAGGTATTTCAATGCAGCCACTGGTGCTCTGGGTTCTAGGCAAGCCTGTAAGATCAAGACTAACACCAGTGCAAGCACAGAGACCACGGGGATCTTGCACTGTGAATGAGCTAATAAGGTATGTTGCTACCAGGGATGCTGCAGAGAGCAGAGAGGCCCATCTGTACCCCAGCTTGATTACAGCTGGTCTTGTTAGCACTAGCTCATTGTTGACCCTGCCAAATCTGGTCTAGCTGTTGAGAGCCAATAGATTGTTCCTGAGGACTTTTTAGTCTGGGCACAGGACTTCAGCAGGAGAGATGCAGTCTCACATTCAGTACTGCCCCTGTGCTAACATACACCGTCTCAGAGCGTGGTGCAGAAGCAGGGGCTGAATGGAATCATCTCATGTCTGTCAAGGTCCAGACTGAGCTGGAGTTACTGAATGGGTATAGTGCCAAGACTCTTTCTAGTTTGATCTGGCTATGTTAATAAAATTAAATCCTGTTTGCCTTCAAAGCACAGTTGCTGCACTCAAACTGTGTGCTCCTGGACCCAGCCAGCTCCCAAATCATGCCTAGGCACTGCTTGAAAGAGTGCTAGCTGGCCTGTACAAAAATTATGCCAGGGGTCATTCTAACAATATTTAGATGATCCAGTCCCAAGTGCTGACATTCTTTAATTTACAAGTACAGACATAGCTAGTAGGTTTTACTGGATGTAGTTTAACTTCTTACAACATAGCATTCCCAGTTCTGGAAGCACACAACAAGGCTGCTAAATCAGGTTACTTGGGAAGCTAATTTGGGCTCTGATGGTTCATTAGTTTGGATAGCACACACTACAGAAGTGGCTAAACTGCTCTTGAAATCACACTGACCCTGCAATCAGTGCAGATGTGTTCGCCTGGAGTGTGCTTGAAATAAAAAACTTTGCTGGGACATTACAGAGCTCACTGATAAAGCTCTGCTGCCATGGTATGATTAATGCACAACACATAAAAAGCTGACACTTGTCTGTAACTGAATTCCTTCCTTACATCCTAACTAAAGCATCTAGTTCTACAGAAGTATAGGAGGTAGATTCACAAGAGCAAATCACAGTGGATAACTTCTAGGTATCTTGCTATTTCATAAAACTCTTAACTCTCAGCAATTGACTACATCTTTTCATGCATCTCCCAGGATGCATAGGAGGTGGAAAAAAATTGTCATTACTTAGGAACAGCAGTTTTCTTCTCTGGCATCCTCTGATGATACAGATAAATCCCACAAAGGTCATAAGAAAACATGTCATCTCCCTTTGCTCCTTCAAACAGCGTGCAATAAGCACGCCCTTACAAGAGTATTCATTTTCCTCATTTGCATCATCTGTAAAGTGAGAATGGTGATACCTTTCTTGTGAGATCTTTCCATACATATGATATTCTTTCTTTCTTTTTTTTTTTTTTTTTTTTTTTTCCCCATAATGGTTGAATCTGCTTAAAGCAAAAAAGGTAGGAAATGAAAAACACACTGTGAGAGGATGAGACCTGAATGAGCTGCTTACCAAAGGGGTAGCTACACAGTGTGTTAGCCTGTAGTTGCCTGTTCCTGAAAGTGATGAAAAGGCAGCCCCATTGGCAAGGTGTTACTCTGTGGTTCTGCCCGTCCTGTTCATAATCAGGTAATTGCAGCAGTGCTGAATAAAATTGTTGCTGCTATGACTGGTTCAGTTTCAAATACAGCAACTCAATGCTGATGGCAGAATACTTCGCCTACAAATAATTAACTGCACTTAAGCTGTCAGAAATGTTTTTTCCATCTGTTTCCTTGGGCCATACTCTTCCTTTTACACTAACCCTCTGAAAGTGGGAGAAAAAGTTTTTCAGCCTACATCTTCTTACAGAAACTGCACTGAGGTGGTTATGATCTGGCACTGCTGTTGGGGTCATGATTACTTGTACATTAGTACAAGTATTAACAATCTATTGCTTTTCCTTTCTCCATTCTGTCTCCACACAGATATTTTTGTAAAAAATTTTTTACAAGGCACAATCCAAAATCCTTTAATTTACTGGAGATTTTCTATTGTTTCCAGTAGACTTCAGTTAATGTCTGTTACTCTAGAGCTGCATGGGAAATAGGTCCACACTGAGAAGTCCCTAGAGTTTTGCTGGTAGAGATTCTATCCTTTAGATCTTGATGTCACATCCATGAATACAACTGAATTATATTCATGGAAGAGCAACATGCATTTTAGAAGAATAAGTGGCATTTCAGTGCTCATAGACTGTCATAGGAAGTTATACCCATGTGGTAAAAATCTGGCTTCATGGAAGTTAACAGAAATCATAGAATCATAGAATCATAGA